AAGCTTACATGTAGATAGAATGCATTCCACTTATCACCATAAAACAGCTCTTCTTTCCGGACATAAAGCTTTACATTGTTCCCTAGATAACGATTTTTTCCAAATATTAACACAACAGAACCGCAATAATAGCGAATACAACAGTTCTCCACGCGCTATTAAAACACTAGAAATTCACAAACAAAGTGTTACACAGAAAAAAAGCGAAATAGAGATTTACTTTTACACAATGAAACACGAAAATTCAATGTTTCGTGTTGTCAAAATAATTAAAAAAATGTTCAAATTCTTAGAATTATTATAAGGAATTTTGGCATTTCTTTCGATTTTCGCAATTAACTGTTTAGTTAAATAAACCTTTTCTAAATTAAAGCATCCATTAATCATTATCTTATACTAAAATAGAGTAAAGTAACTTTTGAGATTAAAAAAAATTTTAAAGTATATCCATAACTTAATTCAGAACTACAACAACAAATTCCCTAAAGCCTTTAACATTTTTGTTTCTTCTTTCACAACTCAAAGCATATTTCGGTCATAAGGTCCAAGTTACTGTCAATCAATAATTTACAAGTACTTTCATATGCATTATCCTTCCATCTCTTATGAATAATTTATTTTTTAAAGCTCGTAGAAGTAAATCGAAAAAATATTTTTACTCGTTAAAAATTCCATTCTTTCCATTCGATTCAAGTAGAAAACTTTGAAAATTATCGATGCAACTAAAATATTTTACATCAAATTAATTAAATTTCGTTCTTCGTCCGAATTACAATCGACGAAAAACTAAAATTTTTAAAAGGAAAACTTTAAGACGTGATAACTCGGATGGAAACGTTAATCGGATCGGAACCCGTCCAGTAAAGAATAATAAACGGATTCTAAATATTAATTTGTGTGTAGAAGTTTATAAATTAGGCAAAATTATAATAATCATAGAATTGAATTTCAGAAGGAAAGCATAAATCTACGCTCCGTCTTGCTAGTATTCTATTATTATAAAATTACAACAGGAATGATACCGGACTATTAATATCGGACGAAGATATAAATTTACTAAACGTATATAAGCCCATAAATATAACTAAATGGGTATATAAACAAGTAAACTTTACTACAGAAAAAGAAAACCAAAACCTAGATGAAACAATGTTAGTTCAGAGAAATAAACGAAATTACATTCTTTACTAACATTCCGAAAATATTCTAGCTGCTTTCTACTACATAAGTCATCCTGTTTGAGACTTCTTTTACACTAGAAAGTTTTATATTAACAATTACAATTGTAGGTTTGTTTCTATCTTAGACTACACATATATAAATCTCTCCTAAATAACGCCATCCTCGCAAAGTGCCAATTGATACCCGTGATTTTTCCTATAAATATTAAATAGAGAACCGTATTATTGAATGTATAATTTTACGTTACAAACAAAATTGTCATCACTAAATAACGCAAGTTTCAAATACCAAACTCGCATTTATATCTCGTTATTACGTATAATTCTTAACATTTAAAGCGCACCAAACTCGGTTTAGCGTCGATTTCAGAGGCAAATGGTGACGCTACATCGAGGTTTGATTGTATATATTAAATATTCCGAAAATACTATGAGTATTTTGAGTTCTCTCTAACGTAAACTTAGGTCTTGTCATATCTAACAGAAAATATGATAGGGAGTTAATATTTATATATTATATTTACACTCTTAAAACATTTAAAATCATTACGTTTATTGAAATTTGAAGAGATTAACGAATACAAATCACTTCGAAAACAAAAGTATGCATTGTTAAAATAGAATTTGAATAGATTTATGAAAAAATATTGACAAATTGGAGAGATTAAAGAAGCTAATTAACCTAATTTATCGCGAAATCGTTTATATTAATTAATTTTCAAACTAAAAGAAAACATTTATATATTTGGTAAACGAGTGCTTATATGGCACTCGTAATTATCTCGAGCCATCGACTGTGCTCTATACGTGCACGCGCTAGAGGGACCACACCACGTTCACGCGCGCGCAGATATTTCGCATTCCATCGGATACGTCAGATACATTTATCGGATGATTCTTAAAAACGTACATGGACATAACCAATTTCTTTTTTTAAACATGCCATTAAACTAAATGCTCGATTTAACGTTATTGGCATTTCTAAATGGCATCTTTATAACCGTTTCGGCGTGTTTAAAATACGCGGAGATATCGTTTATTCACGGAGGAGGTTCGATTCTTATATTATTCGGCAGATATATAAATAGGGACCAAGATTTATTGATCTGGAGAAGATAAAAATGGGAATAGCATACAAGTGGTTACTCTGGCTATTTATAGACGAGAGGAAAATGCCACCGCTCTTCGTCTCCCTTAGCTAATCTCGACAAACGGATGATGGAAGACCTTATATCTCGCTCGAGATAATTTGAACAATTTTATTCCCGACATCTTTGTCTCCCACCCTAGCAATAAGCAATGGTTTGAGCCCCTCGCAGCCTCTTCCGGGTTGAACTCCTACCAAATGACGTTGCCATGGTTATCGATCCGGATCCATCTGAACCCGAGAGATGTCACATGCCACAACATCGCGATCTACCTACAACCATTAAAAATTTCTCTTAATGTTTTCTTTCGTAGAAAAAGTATTTTAAAAAAAGATTAAATTATAAATAGTTTTTCAATCTTCTAAATAATAAAGAATACATAAAATTTATAATTTAGAAAACTGACGTCAAGGCAAAAAACTTCGTATACATTAAAAGCAAAAAAAGAGAAATTTTTAAACAAACTGACTAAATTTTAATTGCCGTTTTAATTAAATTTGTTTAATTAGATTTATTAAAACAAATTAAATAACCAAACGTATGACGTCAATCGGTAGAATTAATATAGGAAAGGATATTCTTCGTTAATTATAATAAGTAACTTGTCATCTATATCAAAATAAACTTTTAACACTAGTCCATAATTAATTTCGCTTTGTATATATTAATTTAAAAAAAATAATAATAAATTAAAATTCTTTAATAAAATACATTCAGAGAATTATTTCTGAATTCGTAGACGAAATAAATAAATCGTAATTCCACCAGATATATTTTTGAATCAATAATCAACACGTGTTTTTCATATAGACAGAGAACAAAGGAAAAAAATGCTTCTGGTAATGCGTAAGAAATTTTAATTAAAAGAATTACATTTTTCCTCTAACAAAAAAGCCGAATTTTTCGTTTACGATCAAACAAAAGCACTTTTATCCTTACTTGGATATAATGTATCGAGATTGGTCAAATAGTAAATTCTCGTGTCTGAAAGGATCGATAGGAGGATGAAGATCTTTATATGGCAGAATAGATATAAATCAGTAGAAATACATATATAGCCCTAAAACGTATAAAACAAAATAGGAGGGAGGTTATGCATTCGAATCTTTATTCCACTAGAAAATTCCACAAACCTCCTTTAAAATTGCTATTTATCTATTCGACATGAAAGTAAATTTGAATATTTTCAAAGTTTTATTTTCCCAACGTGATTTTTTGATAAATAAACTCAAAGCATTCGTCCGTTGGATGACGACCGAGATGATATTTGATATAAAAATAAATCTATACACTTGATTAAATTCAAATTTCGTCCATTCTTTCAAACAAGTTCCTTTGATCTTGAAGACCAGCAATAAGAAAACTTTATAAAATATTGAATTCGACAGAATATATCGGTTGGTTCTCAATTATTTCGAAATTATTCGGGTGAGAAATAGTCAAGAGAAGAATGAAATTAACGACTAATTTTCAGGAAAATCAAATTTTAATTTGTTTCCTGTCATTAGAATCTGAGAAATTCAAAGTTAAAGATCGAATTATCGGGAATAAGATTTTAAAATCTTATTCCCGATAATTTCTAATGAATAATAATTAAGGGAAACGGAGATTTTTAAAAAAAATTATATATAATTTAGCCATTTTAATATTTAAATATTTGCGGAGATTTATGGCATTTTCACTCCTCGATAAAAAGCATACGAAAGATAAAATGCCAAAGCGATACAAAAATATAAAAAGAAAAATTTGTTTCAAGATGAAATATTGCACGATATTTTTTTTAGCAAAAGAAAGAAACTTTTAGGAAATTTTAGAAAATAAAATAATAAATTCAAGTCAGTGGATTAACTTTAACGAAGAAATAAAATTGTATTTCTTTACACACCGTTTTTATTACGTTACTTTAACATGGTTAATTTAGTTTTCAAAGCATTAAACTTAAAAAAAATTGTGAAAATATAATTTTCCTCGTCAACATTTTATGTATTCTTCGACATTTTATCTTCATCTCGATCCCATTCCAATCTTCTTCTATCCTAATGATTTACTTAATAAGCTTTTTTCTACTTCCTCCGGGTCTCATCTTTACCCTTTGTAAATCACTGTCGTAATTACTGAGCGAGGTTCACATTGACAGACTTAATACCGGCTCAACGAAATTACAATATTAAACATTAATCATCGTGTAAATTCACTTTAAAAAAATTAACAGGGGAAAAAGTAAGCAATAATCACAGAAATGACGTCATTAATCATAAAGATTGGCATATTTTAATTACGTAAAATAAGTCGTAATTATCCGAGACTTTGATTAATGAAACGGTAAATGATTTACGACTTATTTACTCCTTTGGTTTTAATATAAACTTCATCCTTACGAATCGGAGATGGTGTAAAGGAACACAGAATGGGAACAATGCCAAGTGAAAGTTCCACGTGCAACTTTTCGACACCTGGCTCGATTTTTAATCTATTTTAACGTATATATAAGATGATTTTTCACGTCGGCATCTCACCGTCGGAATTTTATACTGAAATTTCATACATGAGTCGATACGATCGTGTTCGACTATAAAAACGTTGCTAAAGTCCGATGCCGTTATTGTATATTTATTTTAAAAAGACAATGGGATAATCCGTGTGTTAAATTTACGTTTAGAAACATACTCACCTCCATAGAAAAGACCAAAACAGAATGGAAGGGTGGACCATGGCAGGCTTTAGCTACCTCCTCTTCTCTACTGTTACTCGCATCTCCACTCCACTTCTGTCGTGCCACCTGGAGGCGATATTTCTAGAAAGGGTTTCGATTTTTTTTTTTTTTTTTTTAATTTTGTCCGTAGGAAATTGAACTTTTCCTACGGACAAAATTTGTTATAAAAAATTTATACAATTTCCGTAAAAATTTTTTGAAAAATGATGTCGTTTTATTTATATTATTTTAGGTAGCATTGTTGGGATTTACCCGATGTATACAATAATAAATACACCGAAAGTGCGTAATAATTACGTGGCGTTATTAATATATAAGATCCTTCGGTAAATTATGCGAAAAATACGGGATAAAATTATTAATTTTATTAAACCGTTTTATTTATATCAAAGTTAAATTTTAATTAAGTGACATCTGTTGATTAATGTATAAACTATCCGCGTATCTTTAATTATTAAAATGTATCTTTTTTGAGAACGTTTTCTATTTTTTACATAAAAATAATTCTTTCTTAAAGTAATTACGTTATAATCTTAACTTTAATTAAATTAAATGTTGATTTTTTTCGTATTAATATATTTATAATTAATATTGAAATTTTGATTAAATTCACAGTATTATATAATAAAGTATATCATAAATTTGTAATTCAATGACGCATATTTCGAACAAATTAATTTTATTTTTACAAAATAATAAATTTAGAATTAAAAAAAAAAAGTAAAATATAAACGCCATCTACTGTAGAAATTTGAAAAAATAAAGCCATTTTTCTTCTTTCGGAATCCGAAGTGTAAAATTTCGCTTCTTGTCGCACCTGATACAACTCGGTTAAATCATCATTTTTTTTTTTTTATTATTGATTTTGAATAAATCGAAAATTTATACAAAAACAAATATACATTTTAAATCTACAAACAATTTCTTTCTTTCTGAAAAACAATCTAAAGTTTTCGAATTCTTCTCATACTTTAAAAATAATTCAAGTATCCAAACACATAATCTTATTTTTATATTTCGATTATTTTTTAAAAAAATTTAGTTTCTCTTTATTAAATTTTAAAATTGGAAACTTTTATTTATTTATATGAAACGTCGACCAATTAGGATCGACGAGCGAACGAGTTTAAAATTTTATTTTTGACATAAATTAATAACGGCGCTTTTTATTTGCTGAAACTTAAATTGTTTAACAACAGTTAACGTTATATAGAATTAATGATGTTTCTTCTTCCTTTTATCCTGGAATATAAAAAAATAATAACGAACTTTTGTTAAAAAATGTAATACTTAAATGCTGTAATGCGGGAATTGTTCTTATATTAAAGTACTAAGCATGCTTTAAAAAATATAGTGAAATTGTAATTATTAAATACATTAAAATAAGGTTCTTTTGTTAAATTTTTTCTTTTACTAATAAACGAAAAACATGATAAATATATTTATTAGAGATCTTCGAAAAGTTTCATTTATAATTCAGTAATACGAAAACGCATTTAATTTTTAAAATTTTGGTAAATTTCTAAGAGAAAAAAGTTTTTTTTTTGACTACATTTAATTGGATGAATGCTTTTTTCCATGTGTCAAGATCAATAAAATCACGAGAATAAATCTATTGAATAATAAATTGCACCAATCCTGTCATGTAAACCAGCCTATTATTTACTTAGTATAATTTAATAAATTTTAAATTTATTGTTATTCAAATTATGTTTTATTTTAGGCCATTAATAATAGAATATAATCCTGAAATTTTTAAATAATTTTGTAAATGAGAATTTTTATGCCCTTCATTCAAAAATAAGAAATCACAATTTTACTATGTATAATTAAATGTTAATAATTTATTTACAGTCATTTTTTTACATAGTTTTCCAATTTTACAACAAATATATTATTTAGATTTCATATTTTTAAAGCTAGAAAAATCTTGTGATAAAGACTATACAAAATATTATCAGATGAATTTGGTATAAATATTTAATAGACAAATGGATCTAAATGTATTACCATTTGATGAAAAAGTAATAAACATTATGCAGAAATGCATATATTATTCATTGGCTAAAATAGGGTTAATATTTTCTATGCATTAAATTAGAAATTGAATATTTCCAATACAAAAAATATAACAGATGTATTTATATTGAAGAGAATTATGTGCGCTAATTACTGAATAGAAATTACAACTGAACCTGTTGTAACATATTAATCATATATGTGTTGTATATAAAAAAATAATTGTACAATCTTATTTAATTAATATAAACAGAAAATTTCAAATTGCACAGAAAGAAAGAAGAAAAAGTAATAAAATTAATACTAGAAGCAGCACTAGTAATTGATAAAATACATTATAAATCAATACTCACACTATATAGAACTTTTTATATATTATAATTCATTAAAAATCAATTATAAAAGTCTTATTAATTTATAATAATAATAATTATTTTTGCTAATTAATAAAATTTACAAATATATATATATAAAATCAATAAAATATTAATATAATTATATTTTGTTATTCTGCATAATGACTCAAGTATCTGTAAATGTATTAATATGTTCAACATTTAATAATTTATTTAACAATAATTTACAGAAATTTACAATCCCACAAGTTATTTGATTTTCATCCATAAGACAATAAGAATAGAAATAAGAAATGAAAATATTTTACAGTTATTTATAATTCAGGATATTTCTTTTTACATACACCGAAGATTACTTCTCTGCTGTTTCGTTTCCTTCATTTCCGTTATCAGTTTCTCCTTGATCATTGCCAAGTTTATTTTCACTAACCGAACTATTTTCATTTATTAAAGAAGTTTCTTTCTTTTCTGAATTGTTTGCTGCTTCAATTTCATCCTCTCCTGGATTATTATTGCACGGTTCTAATAAAATCTCTTCAGGATCTGGTGCCCTAGGAAGAAATTCTTCATCTGGAAACATTTTTTGAAAGATTTCTTTTGCCTATTATAAATAAATTTTTATATATTGGACATACTCCAAAAATGCATATTAAAATGCTTTTGCTATTTATTTATATTTATAAATTTTACTTTATAAAAGAAATAAAATTTAAACTTTTATACCCAACTTTTTATATATAAATTTAGATATTTAATATATAAAAAATAAAAAATTCAAAAAGAAATCAACTTTAAATAAATTTTAATAGGCTTTTCCTGAGAATACAAATATAATCATAATACTAAAGTAAAATATGTTTAAATAATTTACTATTGTTAAAAAGAAGAGAAACATACTCTGTAAATTTGTGCTGCAAGAGAACAAGAAAATTCTGGGAAAAGTGAAGTTAGAAGAAGTTAGAATGTACAGTATATGCATAAGTCTGATTTGTGCAGATGCGAAAGAGGAAAAAATAGGTGAAAGAGAACTTCTGGAATCAGAATTCACACTTGGAATGCAAGAGAGGGAAACAGTTCTCGTGTACAATGCATAAAAAATGCACCAGTTTCCCTCATCCTTGAAAGTTCAATCTGTTGAATTTTGTCTCATATTTTTCTCTCATCTTCTGAGTTGACACAAATGTAGTAATTAAGCAGCCTCACTTCCATGCAATAATAACAATAAAATGCCAATGATGAAGCATGTCAGTAATCTGTCAAACATGCAAAAAATGGCCCAAAAAGCTGCATGCAATACAAAATTCAATTATATGTGATGTCAGCACATAGAAATGTGGCAGATGGATGGATGGATCTTTGGATACTTTGTAAAATTCATCAGACTTTTCCTTCCTGCTTTTGCATGAATGCAACTAGAGGAAAAACAAGGAGATTATTCCTAATGGCACATGACCATAGTTTGCTTTGTATTCCCTCTCCTCATGTTTTTCTTTCTCCTCTTGCATTTCTAGCATCTGCATAAATACAGCATAAGGCTATTCCCAGTGGAAAATAGAGATAGCTAGAGTAAAATCAACTTCAAAACTTTTAACTCAAAACAACTCAAGTAACACCATGCTAACTTCACCTTGCAAAATAAGAAAGCAGTGCAATGATGATGACATAGTATATCTTTATATGGATAAAACAAAAGTGCCTGCATTTATTAAAGATCATACAAACAAAGATGAAAACCTACAATGGTGGACAAAAGTTTAAAGAAAAGCAAAAATTTCACATAAACAATTAACTTAACTAAAATTATTAATTCAATCATGTTCATATGCTTTAAAAAAGTAAATTAATAGGTTCATACAATAATGAAAAAATAGTGTTGTAATATTTCTTCTAAAAAGTAGAAAATCAAGTAATTTATATTAACAAAACAATAAATAAATCTGAAAAAATAACTGCAAATTATTATATAAATGTAAATAATTAAAGATGTACACATGAATAAAGACATTTCATATATTTGTATACAAAAAAAATCATCTGTCAAACATGGAAAAAATGACAGAGAAAGAACAAAGACAAACTGATATTTTATGGCCACAGTTACAAAATTATTGTGCTGTAGCTGCCCAAATAGGAAGAAGTCACACTGTTGTGAACAACTATATTAAAAAGGCGATAAATACAACTTGAGAAAATCTAAATTTAATGCAAGAGATAAGAGGTAAATTTTGAGGGTTGTAAGCAACAAAAATTGTGAATCACTTACATGTTAGACTTAAAAGTCCCCGTACTGTTCAAAGAGTGATAAAATCATCAGGATGACTTAGAAGAAAGAAATTAAAAAGAAAACCACCCCTAACTAAAGAACGTAAAACTGCAAGATTGACTTATGAATGAGATCACATGTCCTAGAATACAGAATAGCACTAGGTTATTTTTTCAGATGAAAAAAGTTCAATCTAGATGATCCAGATGGTCTGAACTATTATTTTCATGATTTGTGCAAAGAGTAAACGATTTTATCTCGACGACAGATGGATGACAACTCCATTATGGTGTGGGGTGCCATTTCTTGCACGAGACCTATTGAATTCATACATGGACAAATGTATGAATTCGATAGGTTCAATAGGACAATTCGATTCATGCATGGATGAATGGATTCAAAAAAGTATCAGGAGCTAATTGAAATTACTTTACTTCCAAATGTATGAAAATGAGTAATCAGAAAGTTCTATTTTATGCAAGACAATGCACCTGTCCATTTATCTTGCACCATAAAAAATTGGCTTCAGCAAAAACAATCTGACTGTTGGATCATCCACCTCAATCTCCAGATCTAAACCCAATTGAGAATATCTGGGATGTACTCTCAATAACTGTATATGCTGATGGCAAACAATACAGTTCAGTAAAAGACTTAAAAATTGCAGTGAAGAAAGCATGAGATACTATACCAACTTCCATACATAAAACATTTATTATGATTATACCAGACTGCATTTTTGAGGTTATTCAAAAAAACTGAAAGGTCCACATGCTTTTAGATCTATTATTTGCAGTTATTTCTTCAGTTGTATTTAAAGTTTCATCAACATAAGTTTTCTACTTTTCAAAAGAAATATTCCAACACTATTTTTTCATTATTGTATAAATCTATTAATTTACTTTTTTAAAGCATATGAACATGATTGAACAATAATTTTACTTAAGTTAAATTGTTTAGATAGAATTTTTACTTGTCTTTAAAGTTTAGTCCACCACTGTATATAACCAATACAGAAGCTGCTGAATTAGAAAATAATTGTATTAGTAATATTGTCAAGGTCAATAGTATGCTCACTGGAAAGGATCTCCCAAAGACTTTAAAAACAAGCAGGACTTTAAGAACTGTAGCACCAAGATCATTTGGAATGATGAAGACATACAAAACAGATTAAGACCAATTTTAACCTTTCAACAGTGGACTAGTCGGGTATGGTTCTACCCCCAGTAGTGGAGAATAAATGTGGGAAATTTTTAAAGTATTTTTTCACGCATTTTTTCTCCTTATTGTTTCGGGAAAAGATTTTGTAAACTATTACATCTAGTAAAGAAAAGTCTTTTTTTATTGTTACAAAATTCATTTTTTATGTGAATTTTTTTCATGGTAGTTTTAAGCTAGTTTTTGGCGATACCTCTCAAAAGACTTTGACGACTACAGTCGTCCCTCACCACTGCCACACAATCGCCCTTGATGACTATAGTCATCGCTCACTGCTGAGTGGTTAAAATACCTTTTGCCCCAACTATAAATATGAAGAAAGCCTTAAACATGTTTTTAGCAACAGTTGGGTTTAGAGTGAAATATGCAATCAATAGTGTGAATGACATTGTAAAAGATATAGTGCACATATCAGTATAACTTGAGGATTGTCTTACTACCTTAGACTACAAAAGGCTGTTTCCATCTAGACTGACAGTATATCCTGGCTACAGCATTAACATTAAATTAATAAATTATATAGATTTAATTTTAAACAACTCTTATTTTATATGGGATGATAGTTTTTATGTACAAAAGAGAGGAGTGGAGTCCCCATGGAATCACCAATATCAGAAGACATAGTAGAAATTACATTAAGACAGGCAGAAAAACAGTATATCAAAAAAATTCTTGCTATATATTAAATATATAGCAAGATGTGGTGACAATGTTCTAATAATATGGAAAGGAAAAAGGAAAGTGCAAGAATTTACAGAATAGATAAACAACTCCTCTATAGGAGTAGCTCTTAAGTTAAAACATAGTAACATCTAAACCAGTGTGGTGGAGTAAGTAAACAAATAGTCCAACTTCAGCAAATTTGAAATGTGAAACTCCAACAATGACCTTTTCCTTTTTTTAAAGTGTCAGACTTTGATTCTTTTGTTAGAAAAACACCACTGGTTATCTGAATATTTTTATCTAAAATTTCTCTAAAAATGTTGTACTAAAATTTATGGTGAAAATTAAATGGATATAGTGAATTTACCTTGGAAAATGGATATAAAATGGATAAAAAAATGGATATATTGAATTTGCCTTGGAAAAGCTTTAGAGCACGTAAAAACATAGTACATCTTAACAGTCAAAACAATTCACTTTTATTAGTTAATTATGAAAAATTGATTTAAAATTTAATCATTTTAAATAAAAAAAAAATTAAATACAATAAAATGCAAAAAGCAACAATTTGATGATTGACATAATAAATTGGTCTGTAAAATAGTTTCCTCTGCTCTGGTTACTACAAGAATAGTTAATTTCCTATCAATGGTTGACTAAACTCAAGTACTTGAACCAATGCATGCAATCATGCCCTGAGAATTTAAACCAATGAATAATAAGATGGAACAATCCTATTAACTACATTTTGCAGTTTTTTTCCCTCTCTTCTAGTTTGTTGCAGTTAGATTCTGATCTTGGTTTTATTTTTTCATTGTTTTCTATTGACTGTTATAAGATCAAATTATGTTATAGAAGCAATAGTAAATACAGTAGAGTCCCACTAGTCCGAACTAATTGGGACCAAACCCTGTTCAGATTAGCAGATTTTTGGATTAGCCGAATAATTGAAATAATGCAGAAGCAAGCAGTAAAACCAGTCTGATTTATATAGATCCAACGCCATCAATGATGTCAGCACCCTACCCTTTATTTCATCTGACTTTTACTCAATAGACAGCATAAACAATTAACAAAAACAAGTTTTGTAATTTTGAAATGGCAACAGCCTTCATTGTTACTTTAAAATTATTTTAACTGTAAAAAATGTTGTTTTTAATACACAGTCCAGGATTCCAATCAGTTGACTGATGCTATTGTTTGAGTTAGCATGCTTAATTGTAAATTTTGAATGTATTCTTTGCTCTTCATTATTTTAGTTCAGTTTAGTCTGCTGCTATAATGACCATGAAATTTTGAAAAGGCTAGACAAGGATGAAAGTTCAACAAAATTGGCATTAGAGTTTGGAGTGGGCAAGGCCACAATAACCAACTGGAATAAAAACCATGCAAAGATTGAGCAGTTTTGTGCCTCTACTTCAGAAAAATCAGTTGAAAACTGACAAACAGCAAGGCTCAACATTTGACAAGTTTGATGAAGCCTTATTCACATGGTTCAATGAGGAAAGAGAAAGGGGAATACCCCTACGTGGACCTCTTGTTAGAGAAAATTTTCTCTTTGCCGACCAAAACATGTTCAGACTAGCGGGACTCTACTGTAGTCATAAATAACTCTCAACCAATAGAAAATCAGTAAAAAAAGTAAATTAGTCAAAAAACAATTCATATCCAAAGAAAAACATCTGAGATGTAAAATAATATTGCACCAAGTAAAAATTATGGCATCCAAAATGATTTGTGTGTTTTATTAAGTTATGGCAACACAACACTTGGGCAATCTGCCTAGGGGGATGTCTTCCGGGAGGTCTTTTTAAGGGTAACTGGCCCCTAATCAGATGTTACAGACATGAAGAAAATCCAGAAAACTCCATGTGGCCAGCCTGTCCAGGTGAGATGCAAACTCACAACCAAACTCCCAGTGTTCAGGGAATGGAACCGCTTGGCCACTGATGGGTTGCATCCAAAATGAAAGTCAAAATTTTTCTTATTAGTTTCTCTACAGTAAAAATAAGATCTCATAAGCTTATTATTATTATCTCTGCATTTTGCATTCTTACATGAAGCTTTCAAGAACCAATTTCAGATATTCTTTGTTTTTCTCACAAACTGAAAGCCAACCAGATGACTGAGTGGTAGTGTTTCAGACTGCCACTATAAAGGATCTGGGACCAAATCCAGGCCAAGACTGCTGTAAAAAATTTTCCGTGTAGAATCCGCCAGTGTGTCATTCTCCATCCTATATCCATACTGCATCACTGGATAAGTGAATTTGATCCCCAAACACTGATAGTTGGCTGAAGTTTGTGCTTGGACTGACTGGCTAGCTCAAAGTTTTATGAGTTTGCTTCACATCATTAATTTAATAACAATGTCATGTAATTTTTAAATTAAACAGAAATTGATCTGATTTCAAAAGAAAATTTGTACAAAAGTTATTTTTTGTTATTTACTAAATGCAATACAAAAAGTTTATATAAAATAAAGATTTACTTTATCACTCAGTTTAATAATTTTGAAAAAAACGTTTTAATAAATAGTATAATAAATTTTCAATAAATTTCAATTTAAATTCTAAAAGTATTTTTTTAAAGAAATTTCACATTTAAATGAATAGTTTTAAATAACACTTTAAAGCAATACTTACTTCTTTCACAGCATATTCATAATCTAAATGAGATCCTGGAGTAGATGTTAATAACAAACCTTGATAATTTACAACATCGAGATTTACAGTAGTTGTATCAACCTGATTAAAAAAAACACACCAGAGCACTTTTGGCTTCCTATAATTTTTACAGTTTTCTTCAGAATCTGATTATAGAGATAAGAAAAAAATATATAATGTTTTAATTTTAATCATTTGAATTAAATGACTTATGTGATGTCAGTACATAGAAACAAAACTAACCTTTACTTTCGTTACTATCTATTGTAAACAATAACTCCATAGCTGGATACAAATCTTCTTTTGCTGTTTCTGCTACTGATTGACAAGTGAAATGTACAACATCTGAAAAAATATTAAATGATAAAAAGTTATTTAATATTTAATAAACAATTTATTAATAAATAGTAAGATAATTAATATTTATTTATTTACAAGTTTGATCTGGACAAACCATGGCACCAGGTCCAAGTTCTAAAACAGTAATAGTGCTATTAACACTGCATTTTGTTGGAATTCGAAGCAAAGTTATCTAAAAATAAATGTACATATTTCATCTGATTAAACTTAATAATTTATAATGTTAACATTTATGATAAAATTTAAATTATACTTGTTCACGTTCCACAGATAGAATTGAAGAATCTGTGATAAATATGCCACGAGATATTCTAAAAAAAAAAATTATATATGAATTTTCTTTGTGAATTACAGAACATTTTTTTATTTTAAAAATTTAGTTTTTTATAAGTAAAAAATAATACCTTTTTGGATTAATATCTGATGACAAGAGAGAATTTGTTAAGCTGAAAATAAAAATTAAATATTGAATATATATGTATATGTATAATATAAAATTATAGCATAAGAATAAAATGTAACAGTTGATACATTCTTAACAATCTTATTTCATATTTTTTTTAAAATTTATCATATAAAAAAATAATTGATAGTTTATAATAATAGAAAATAATTTGTAAATTTTCATTTCTTCATTAATATAGTAACAAATTTAAATTGAAAATAAATAAATGCAAGATAACTTCACAAACTTCAATTTGCATTTTTTTTTTAAATCAATATTATAATGTCAATTCATACCAAATAAGAATCAAAATAAAATATGAATACTAAAATATTTCAATAAATAATAAATAATAAAATGAGCAATTATTTCATTTTAAAATTTTATTATTGTATTCCAGAAATTAGTTAAAAGAAACTTAGAAAATTTATATTTAATATATTCCAAAATGTAAACAAACCAGAATTTCTATAAAGTATCAAGTTTAAACTAAAATTTACAAAATTAACCTACACATTTTCATTTAACTTAATATCATTTGTATTAGATACACACAAAATGTTGTTGCTGTAAAAAAATAAATATGAAACTTAATAACTAGCTTTTCTATCTACCTTTTGAAAATTTACACTAACACCTACTAAAAGAGTAAATGCCAGACATTTCAAAGTTTAAACTGATTTTACATACTTATTAAACTGATCCTGATTTGATGTAATGTAACTTGATTCCATTACCATCCACCTAAAATATAAAATATTTTAAATATATTAGTAGAAGAGAACAAAATATATAATTTTATAACTTTCATCAGAAAATTTAAAATTACTTACGAACAATTTATTCTTTGTCCATTTGATATTAATCCTTTAAATGATCCATCAGAATGTAATATTAAAGATTCTGCTGTTCGTTTCAGATGATATATTCCTCCAAATACAGCACATAATCTGAAAATTAATACAATTTTTATAAATAAAACTTTAAGTTATTAAATAAAATCTTATTTTAAAGAAGTATAATTATTAGTTTTCTATTACACTGATGGAAAATTTTGTAGAATGAATACTTTTAGGAATCTAACAAACTGAATGATTTTATTTTCATCAAAAATAAAACTAATTTAAAACTGTGTTATTACTTATCTGTAAATTTTTAAAAAATTCTATGTAAAAACTATTAGTAAATGAAAATTACTAGAAATTTATTTCAGAAATTATTAATGGAAAAGAGTATATAAATATAGTTTTAAACTTTTTCATTTTTGCAAATATAAACACAAAATCAGAATACTTTTGGATCAGAAGCTACTCACATTTCCATTCATCACACAGCAAATTAGATATATAAATGTGTTGAATTTAAATTTAAAATGCAACAATAATACCAATATACATAAAATGAAGCAAGAGAATACTTTTTTCAGAGATACTAAAAAAATTTTTTTTATTAATTACAAATTGTATGTATCTAAAAATGTAACAAAACATTACTAACCTGCAGAAACATTGTGGAAGTTCTGCACTACCGTATAAAGACCAGAGAAAAGGACTATTCCCATAGCGACCTAAAGATTCCAAGAAAGTTTGTACTGCTTTCAATCCCTAAAAATAAAATTTGTTGTAATTTTAAAATGAGCAATTATTCTTAAACTGAAATTTTATATATGCTATATAAATAAAATAAATAATGTATATTTATTTTTTATTAATTATTTGTAAATAATAACCTGCAGAGTTGGAGTTGATTCATCTACCATTGCTATAGCATAAAGGATATAATGTTCAACTTGTGGTGTTAATTTTTGCGATTTTAAGAAGTCAACAAAAGGGCGTCCTTCATATCCTAAATAATGAATGCTTATTAAATGAATTATCTCATTCAAAATAAAATTAAAAAATTCCAATTAATTTAATTATATATTAATTGAGATTTAATCTCACATAAATTAATTATGTAAAGTATTACTTTTAAATCTAAATATTCAAAAGTATCAGAATGCAAAAATTCTTGAAATTTTAAATAAATATTAAATGTAATATAGCAAGTCCTCACTTAATGTCATTTGATTATAACATCATTGAGGAAAGACCACTAGGAGGTCTGGGTAGCATAAGTGGCAACGCATCTGAATGGTAAGCAGGAGTTGAAAGTTCAAGTCCCACTCCAGGCCGATTCTTTTTTCAGAATATTCTAAATTACTTATTAAATATTCATTTATTCTAATTAAATTTAATAAGAAATGGCACTTAATGTCTATCTCTAGTAACAAATTACTTAATTTAATTAATAATGTAGCTGAGAAATAGCCCAATGCATTACAGTGTTGTTTGGCATCGTAGAAAGATACAATTATATCTGTAATCATTTACAATTATTATTAATGAATTTTCTTTATAAACAGTAAAACTGATTCTATAAGGTGAGAAATAAATGCTGGAGTTCGCAAACATGATCCTGTTATAATAATATTAACTGAATTATATCTTATTATATCATTTAGCATGTGGCAAAATTGGTTTAGTTATCACTTAACATCAGTTTCCAAGAACCTATCAACAACATTAAGTAAGGACTTGCTGTATTTGTTTTATTGAGAAACTCATTTCTTGTTGATTGATTTAAATTGATGAGATTATTCACAATGTAACATCATTTGTAATTGTATATAGCCCATTTTCAATTTTTTTTAAATTAAAATACTATAAACAAATCTCAACTGTTTTATTTATGTTTTGTAACTCAGATTATTTGACAAAATAGTACATAACATAATTATAAGACCAGTAAGAAATCTATGATATTCAATAAAAGAATAGTGAGCTTTAACTTTGGTTTCTAATTTTGGTAAATAATTTGTACAGGATATACTTCACATTCCAATATGAGTCATTCAAAATCAAAATGGTATATTAGCCATAAAAATGTGCTTGAGTGAAATGAAACATATCTGAACATAATTATAAGATCAGTAAACAGTAATTCCAAATTACATTATTTTAATAATTTACTTTTTGAATTAATAAAAACATTCTATTTGGCATAGAATCTATCAAGTTTTTTGGCTATTCGCGTTTTTCATGAACTATAGAGGGCGCTGTATTTTTACAAAATGGCTACTCTATCTGGGTCATTTGTTAGTCGTCAATGTAAAATGAATTATATATTACTATCTGATATAATGAAATATGCTACTTGTAGCAGTTCATCGAGAAATTTTATAGAAGGAGAACAAGTATTACTAGCAGGACACGTCATTTTATGTGGTATTATCGAGAAAAACGAGCAAGATCGTTCTGTACATTTTTGTGCTCTTTGTCTGCAAACATCAGCATTTACTTCTATCCCACACAAAATTACTGGAATTTTAAAGTTTATCGACATATCATATAAAATTGAATAGAATTACATTTTATTGAAGATAATCCTATATAAAAGGTTAAAAACGAATACAAATCCTAATTACTTTATACTTAGACTCTATGCAATCTTTTTCAGTTTGATTTTTTAATACTATCGAATTACAATAATCTAAACATATTTATAAAAACATGATAGCATACATGACAAAATATAATCTTCAGGAGTAAAATGTTTCGAACATACTACCATATACTTCGTAACTTTTTTGCCAATTCTTAGCAGTCGAATCCACTCTTTCCGTCGGTTACATTTCTGAGATTCTCCGAATTCTGATTTACGAAAAATCATCTGTTTTTCATGT